GGACACCGTCGTCGCAGTATACATAACGTAGTACTATAGATTGGAGCATATTAGAGCGAGTAGGAGCATGTTACGACGCATAGGGATGGGCATTTTCAAAAATAAGTCGATGTTTTAAATATCGATTAAAAGAAAAAAATCATAAAAGTATTGATTATATCAGCACTCGGAATTAGTTGCACATTTCGGGCCGATTCAGGAGACGACGCCTCCTGTTCCTCCACTACCGTTCGGCCGCTGGCGGCCGAGCGGTAGTAGGGTAACAGGAGACGTCGTCCCCTGAATCGGCCTGAAATGTGCAACTAATTCCGCTGAATTATATTAATAAAAAAAATCGATTAATCGTTTTATTTTTCTTTTAATTCCTTTTAATTTATTTTTTAAAGAAATTTTAAACAATATTTATTCTGCAATTTATATATTAATTTTATTTTAATTTCAAATTTACATACAGTTTCTTAATAAATCCGTAGAAAAATATCTATTGCTAAATACAGCTGAGAAAAAACTTTTATTGATTTTATTAATTAAAATAAAAAATTTTCTGTTGTATATCACGCACCCATAATCATGCACATGCATATTAATATTACAAACATAGCATATTTACAATCGATTAGCTGAACAAATCACAGTTTTATTAATTAAAATTAATTATAATAAAAAGTTTTCTATATCACATTATTTACCCACGATCATGCACATGCATAATATTACCCGGTAAAAAATTTCTCATACATAATTAGACAAAAATAGTACATATCTAATTATACAACCCTTACAGCACCAAATATTGATGCAATCTTGCAGCAATATTACTTTGTAAAGTTGGCAATGTTGCAGAAATGTTGCTAATCTTGCTACAAGGTTGCCACAATATTGCCTCAATCTTGAAATGTCCTCCACTGTACATTTTCGCGCAACATTGCAGCAATATTCACATGCAACTATGCGTCTCGTTATTGCAAGGTTGTCGCAACATTTCTGTAAAATTGCTGAATATTGCAGTAACATTGCAATGCAATATTGCTGCAATATAGAATGTTGATGAAAAAAAAGGGCTTGTAATCCGTTTAATATATATTGCATTATTGTTGTACAGATGCTAACAAAACAATATTGTACCGATTACAATTAATTTCTCTCAAGATTTTAGCAATATTCACATACAGGGTATTTCTCTGAACACCACTGAACTGCAGATAGAGACGGTTGAACTGAGTAAAAAAAAGTCCTGTATTTTGCAATCTGAGCAATATTAACTGAGTTCTGATTAACCAAGGCTGGCCAATCAGCGCGTTGGGATACAGAGGCGCGAGTACAGAATAGACGAGCGGAATTGTGAACGAATCGAGATAGGCTCGGGTCTTTCCCGGCGCTTTATTGTGACCAATTTTTTATAAAACACTATACATTAATTTTATAGAATCAAAAAATACAAACAAAACTTACAATAGCCAACTTTAAAATTTTAACGCATTACTTTTATAAAAGTTTATGTATATCTTTATAAAGATAAAATATGTAAACAAAACGTAGCATATATTCTATATACTTTAACACTTTATAGAAGTTAACACGTTTCGATGAAATACTTTAAAAATATGGCAACCCTTTGGTATTTTATTGTAGCTTAACTTTTATAACTTTATAATACACATGAACAGAGAACGATCAGTGTATACCATTTTATAGTACGCCATGTATCCAAAAAAAGACGTATCAACGAATCTGAATAGATTATAAATTTTAAGTTAAAAATTTTAGAAATATTATAAAAATTGTCTTAAGAAGCTCAATTATCCTTTGACAACGACATAATACTTTTTTCGTTATCTGATAACGAGTCCTCTTCTATGTTTTCGAAAAGAGTGAAAGACTTGGTTGTTTTATTGCTTAAACGCTTTTCTGAGCGTTCCTTTCGATGCTTAGCTTGTGCCAACCACTTGCCGATTGCGTCAGCTATGATGTCATCCGTTGCTGATAAAACGTGTACTCGTACTGTTTCTACAAAATGAATTACATATATTATACAGTAATAAAAACAAACCACT